CTTTTTTCCAATGAGAACTCTATATTACCTTAGCTTTATTATTATTGAAATGGTGTTAATTTTTTTTTTACAATAGTAGAATTCTCATCTCTTAAGTGAGACATTAGTTGAATTTCCAGTCAGTCAATACAATGTCCTAGTGTAGTGCTTAATTTAGTTGAGGCACTCAATGAATGTAATTGACTGGCAGAAAATGTGTTTAACAACAAAGTCAATATAAGAACGAAAACATAATACAGGTGGAGGGATTCTGGCTGTTTATTACTTTAGCCATGTATAAGCACAATTTCTAGATTATATCCCTTGCCACAAAAATCTCACATAGTCTGTGGCTTTATAAACATTAAAAAACCCCAACATCCTCTTCTAGACTAAATATCTGCTTCTCTGGAAACCTTCATAATCATCACCACTTATATATCTTGAATTACTGCATGTCTTTTCTTGTGACATATTGAACACATAGACAATGATTTGCTTCCACCATTTCATCCTCCCTACACTTCGCAATCCAACTCACGTTTTCCCATTTCCTTCGAATTCCTTATAACATGGAAAATTAAAGTACAATAGAACTGTAATCAATCACTAATGAATGCCCACAGATTTGGAGGAGGAGGATGATAGCTTCTTATTTGGTGTCATGTCTTCTCATAAAAAAATTATGAAATCTTGGAGATTTTCATACAATATTGTAACAAACACCTGGTAGTTTAGTCTGATTGTTTCAAGGCTAATTTTTGGGATATACAGATTCTGAGCTGTGTAAAGCCCATTAAATAAATGCATAGAACCATCTGCAACTTCTTGTTTTGTTTCTATAGTTATATGGCTAAAAGTGACCTTAATAATAAAGTGATTACTGTATAATAACAGTGAAATACTTGGCATGAATCGAGAACTTATTATACACCAGAGAATCCTTTAAGTCCTTTGCATGCATTATCTTTATTCTTCACAACAACACTTTGAGTGGATCTTTGTGTGTATAAGTGTGTAAGTGTGGACTACTCATTTACTATTCTATTTGTGCTTACCCTCTGCATATATTTTCACCCATTAGCTGTAAAATATGTGGTCCCAGAACAGTTTTCTTCTGGGATGCAGATTCTATCTAGAGAGGAAAAAAGGAAAACGCTGAGTAGAGGGATTTAAATTCAGTTTTCAAGAGGATTATTGCCTCATAATATGTAAATATTCAACTTAAATTTTCAAGAAATGTATCGTTTTTATCTTACTTCTGCAAATGCACACTCCTTTTATTAGCTGGATTTGTGAACTGACAGTTTTCTCAAACATATGGCAAAACTGGTCCTTCCATTTGACCTGAAAATGATTACTCTGTGTTATAACACAAGAGCTGTAATGATGCTATACTGTCCACTTTCAAGATATTTAAGGAATATTTTGAGAATTTTTCTCTAATAACACACGAGCATATGTTACCACAATTGCTTATTTTGTTCTCATGCCTGTTTTAGCTCTTCTCAGGAGCTACCTTTTATTGTTTTTATCTACTCAGAATAGTGCCTAAACTGAAGTGGGCATTCAAACGATGCCTGTTCAAAAAAAGGTGACTTCATCTGTGACCTGAAAGAGTTAATATTTTCCTTTCAGGCCAAATGCACAAATCAATTCTCAACCAGAAAACAGTCCATCTATGGCATTCAGGTCACACAACTGTTCCTCAAATATTATTGCCAAAACACATTTATATTCTATTTTAATACTGTGCATTCATCTTTCCTTAGCATTAGAGGTGTTTCATTAAAAAGTGGTATAACTTCAATTCATTTTTATGCTCACCTTGACAAAAGTGAATCACTGAATGAGTTTAAATGTATCGTGTGTATTTATGTTGTGTGCCTGACATAGTCTTATGTTGAGCATCATTTAATCATTTATTCCAGAGCATCAACCAGCATTATTATGACCTGAAAAGTTAGTAGAAATATGGCGCAAACATTAATGTGAACACAAAATTGAAAACTTTAATTAAAATGACTTGTGTACAATTACTTATTAATGATAAGTTTTTCTCAGATTCCTTTTCTTCAACCTATCTCTTAATTAGAAAAGAGGCAAGAAGTTTTCCACAGAGACCAGTCATGGGCCCTCTTCTCACTCTGAACACATAATTTCTGGAACTTGTCATTCATATCTGTAACTTCAGCTACCACCAATATGCTGGTGATTCCCTTAAGATTTGAGTAACAGGTTTGCATTTCCAACTACACCTAGGATCTTCCTGATATGTTATCTAAGCTCCGCAAAGACTTGATGCCCTCCAGAGCTACTTTTCTTCTAGAAGACCATATTTCATCTCTTATTAATGAAGTTACCCTATTCTGAAGAACATGTTCTATCCTTGACCCTCTTCCTCAATATTTCATACATATTCTATTAAGTCCTCTGTCCCTCTCTTAAGCGTTCCTCCTCCTCTTGTCCTGTCTCTTAATTTCAAGGCCCCATTGTTTCTCTCCCAGAAGGCCTTAGAAATTGGCATGGGTGGTTGCCTCTGGTTTCTCTCTCCTTATATTGCTCCAGATTGACTCTTAAGAGTTATGGACCGTGGTATGTCTTACCTTACTTAAAACCTTTATGTATTTCCCCATTCTCTTCAGGATGTGGTTTAAATTACAGAGCATGGCATACAAGACCAATTCTTAATGCCTCCGCCTGTTCTCTAGTCGCATCACCTTCATCTTCATATGCACCCTTGACCTCAAGCATGTCAGTTTACTTAAAGTTTTCCATACACCACAAACAATTCCATGCTTTTGCAAATGCAACTCCTGTTGTTTACAGTGCCCTCACTTCAGCAGCTCTAAATTATTCTGCAAGGTGTATGTCAAACATCTTGGAAGCCATGTAATTATTCTGAAGGAGATGTTTTTTCTCTGTAATACCAGTATCTCCCAGGTTATTGAAACAATCATCAGATTGCAATCCCAATGTTGATTTTTTTTATAAATGGTTTTCTCATTTGTCATTCCTTAACTGGTAAACTTTCCAAGAACCATATCTTGATTTTTAAAATATGCCCATTATAGCTTTAACATATGTTAGTTTCTTAATCAATGTATGTTTAATTAATGAAACGCTTAAATATTCTCTTAGTTGTTTTTTGGATATTTCTTTAATTTATGCCTCAAGTCATTTTCATTTTCAAGGAGAAAACACTGTATACTCTTCTAAAATTTTTTTAGATGTTTTCAATTGGGAATCCAAGATCTTTGATTTAATAACCACTTTTAATGGAAGGGAATAAGTGATCCCATCAAATAGTATTAATCCATTAATTAAAGAAATGAGAAAATATACCTTTGGTTGGCTAGAAAAAGGACAATAAGACTGCGATGTTTACGTTACATTTATGTACCCAGAAATTAAATTCTTATTTTAGTTATCAGTTTAATAACCCTCATACATTGAATATATCAATTTATTATCAAGGCAAATTGTAATAGAAATGGTACTATTTGAAACTAGAAAACTGTTGGGTTCTTATTCCATTAACTAGTTCTGTAACTTAAGGAAAGAGGATTCTCTCTCAGTTTATCTGAACAATGGAACCAAAGATAAATAAGTGAGATAACATATGTAAAGAGATTCATGCAATATCTGATACAAAGGGCAATCAATAATAATATCAGAAGGTTACTTTGATGAGGGTATTAGATAAACAATTTCACAAAGCTTTGCAAACTGCTATCTAAGTATTAGGTACTAATACTCAAATGAATAAGATTGCTGTTTATTGTTTACCTTGCCAAAAATAAAACACTGCCTTTAAGCACATCAGATGGGGGGGTCCTATTTCTTGGCAGTTTCCAGCAGTCATGCCCTTAGTGAAGACCTTTCATTACTTTGGGAAGAGTTAAGGACTGACAAATAGACAAGGTTCCCCAGGGATAAACCCCTCTTTGTCTTTTACTCCACATAGGAAGAATATCAGTAAAAGCAGAAGTCTCTCTTGTGTACCTAACTATGGAAGTGGCCTGAAAACGCTAAAACAGCGATTTGATCACGGGGTGTAGAGGAGCTCGGATCTGGCAGTCCTTTAATTTGCCACACTGAATTTTTCATCTCGCCCACCTTGTGTTGAATGCACTGTTTTGCCCATTTCCCCTTCTGTCAGGACTAAGAACACAAGACACAGAATCACTAAAAGAAACTTCTAGGTGTTTCTGGCCCTGGGACTGAGAAATTGCGCACATAAGGCAGGCTTTGGTGCAGCAGCGAGACGCCCGCTTGAGGCCAGAACCGACAGCGACCTGGCGACGTGTGCCTCTCAGTCCACCGCGAGCTCCGCTCCGCAAAAGACTAACAGTGTTGGACATCCGGGCAGGCGCTCAAATATTTGCTCACTACAGGTCTGCACTACACTACCTGTCTCGATCCCATCGTATCCCAACCCAGAAAGTAATCGGGCTATGTTTGAGCTGAATCAGAATGCCATTTAGCAAATATAAAACCTATCTTGCTCTTGCGTCTGCAGGAATACAACAGTTTAAAAAGCAAGCCTCGTCCCCACTGTGCCCCGGCTTTTATAATTTGGATTTCAGCATGAGTGTCAAGCAGCAGCAGCAGCAGCAGCAGCAGAGCAGGGCGAGAGACTTCCCAAAGTCTCATCGCAAAGACATTTCGGGGTGCACGGCTCCAGTCTCACTTTTCCGCGCTCTGGTTCGACCCTGGGCATCAGGCTCGTGTCTGAGAGATGTCCCGCCCGCTCCCCCTCACCTCTTGCTGGGGGACATCCCTCCCCGCCCCCCTAGTCCGGTCCCACGTCTCAAGGAAGCCCGTGGGAGAAAAGACGATGGGTGGTGGGGTCAGGGCTGTCCGAGCAGCCCCGGGTGGGCGCCACGAGGTCACCCTGCTCGGTGGCTCCTCGCTTTTGCAAAGCGCGCGTTGAGCACCCGCTGGCACCCGGGCCGCCCGGCACCCGGGCCGAGGCAGCGCGCGCACGCGCACTCCGCGGCCCCGCGCCGCTCCTCGACATTCCATTCCACGTGTTGCTTGTCGGAGGCGCCACAGGTTCCCCACCTGCGCCGGGGCGCTCCGACAGCGGCGCCTCAGCCGGCGGGCTCCGGGTGGACCCCCTGCCTGCGCGTTCGGGGCTGGCCGAGCAATTCCCGAGGCGCTCAGACTCACCCCCCCGCTAACTCCGCCTATTCCCTCCCGGCGGCTCCCCGTACTCCCCCCCCCCACCGGTCCTCCGCCCGGCTCCTGCCCGCCCCTTTCCCCTGGTGGTAGGAAACACTCCCGCGTCTAACTCGACGTGTCCGGAAAGCCCTGGCCAGTTTCCCTTTCGTTCTGCGGCCGCGGCTGCTGGCCCCGGGGCTCCCGCGGACCCGCGGGTGCAGGCGCTGCGGGTGAAGCGCGTGGGGACCGCGAGCAGAGCGGCGGGCCCCCCTGATCACCATGCTGGACCCGTCTTCCAGCGAAGAGGAGTCGGACGAGGGGCTGGAAGAGGAGAGCCGCGATGTGCTGGTGGCGGCCGGCGGCTCGCAGCGAGCGGCGCCGGCCCCGGCTCGGGAAGGGCGGCGGGACGCGCCGGGGCGCGCGGGCGGTGGCGGCAGCGCGGCCAGACCCGTGAGCCCGAGCCCCTCGGCGCTCAGCGAGGGGCGAGACGAGCCCGAACGGCAGCTGGACGAGGAGCAGGAGCGGAGGATCAGCTTGCAGCTCTACGTGTTCGTGGTGAGGTGCATCGCGTACCCCTTTAACGCCAAGCAGCCCACCGACATGGCCCGGAGGCAGCAGAAGGTGAGTCGTGGGACCGGGCGCCTCCTGCAGCCACTTCTGCCCCGGGCTTCCTCCCGGGAGAGCCCGGGGGCGCCTCCCGTACTTCTGCGAAACGCAGGGCGCTGCCTTTTTGTAACCTTTGAGGGCAAAGGAATCTTTGGGGGACAAGAGGGTGCTTTCGCCTGCCGGGTGTGGGGATTCAGCGGACACTTTCCTCCTCCTCCCCCCTCACCTCCAGGGACTGTCCGCTCACCATCCGTGAGACCCAGACCAACCGACAGTGCCGGCCGTGGGGTGGTGACACCCGGCAGGCACAGCTCTGGCCGGATGAGAATGCAGCTCCCATCAACTTTAATTTCTAACAGCCAGGGTGAATCCTGTCCACATAGCTCGGGGTAGGGGTGGGGTGGGGGGGTGATATTGCTGGAGCTGGGCTTTGCTGTGGATCTGAAATGTGCGTGCATTTCTGGGTGGAACAGGTGGAGTCTGAGCACTTTTCTTCTGTGAGCCAGAGAGAAATCTCCGCTAGGGAGAGGGGTAGACATTTTCCTCAATGAATAAAACACAAAGTTAAATCGATAAGTTTTCTATACTGTCATACAGTCACGTCCAAACACTGAAGAAGGTGTACTGATTTGTAGAGTGGCTGTGGGCAAGTCATTCCAGATCTGGGCAGGCCCAAGGAAACACACTATTTATCAAAAATAAAGGATTAGTGTGTAACCACTCCATAACAAAATGCTATCTATCTCCTGTCTGCCTGTATATGTATGTATGTATGTATGTATGTATGTATGTATGTATCTATCTATCTATCTATCTATCTATCTTTCCAAAGAGGTTAGGAGTTTGTTTTAGGTGAAATGCCTGCTAACTTTAGTTTTAAAACAAGATCCAGTGGGTCTGATGTTCTGTAGTAGAGACAGGTAATGATTCAAATTGCCCTAAGTGGTATATGTTTACAATAGAAACTGTCTAGGAAACCTTTTTGATAGAATGTTGAACCTGGAAGGTTCTGAAGAAATCTGTAGCAGTCCCCTCATTTGTGGCAAAATGTGGGGATCCAGAGAGATTGTAGTTTGCTCAGGGCTACCTAGATGGACTGATGTTTATTCGTGTTCTGAAATAACTTCAGCATGTGAAGCATTTTTTAAAATTTGGAGAGGTTTTGAATTGACTTGAAATATAATTGAAGTTCAGAGTAAATACAGGATCCTACCCACTTCCCCAAACCTTCCTATCCCCAATCAGCCAACCTTTATTTTTTATCGAGGTATGATTGACATGTAAAAAGCATATTTAACATATGCAACTCATTCAGTTTGAGGCTAAGTATACATCTATGAAACTGCCTATAGTTAACAATACTATATTGTGTGCTTAAGAGCTACCCTCTTAGAATATTTTATAAGTGCTCTTAACCAACCTTTCAAAGCAGGCCCGCACTAAGCAGCTGTTTTGGAATTGTTTATCCTCTGGGAGTGCTTATGGGATGTTTCCCTATAGCTGGAGATTGATCCGATCCTTCAAGTAACAACCAGGTAGCTCATAAGAGTCACAGATGTTAGAGCTGGAAGAGATCTTGAGGTCCTCGACACAGAGTCCTCACATTGGAGAAAAGAACTAGGTCTTAGTAGCATTCCCAATCCTAAACCAGCTGGCATGATTAAAGCCTCTGTTCCTTAGGAAAGTTTTGAATGCTCTGCAGGGTTTAGTGAACCTGTTACTCCACACCTGGATGGATACTGTGCTTCTCACTGGTGCCTGTGCTGAGTCTGTTCCCAGGCATTGACCAAGACCTCTTCTCAACTCCAGGTCAAGTGAATGTCAATTTCAGTCATCACTCTTTTTTTTTTTTTTTTTTTTTTTTTTGAGTTGGAGTCTCACTCTGTCGCCCAGACTGGAGTGCGGGTGGCTGCTCCCGGCCACCACAGCCTCGACCTGCTGGGCTCCGGCGATCCTTCCGCCTCAGCCTTCCAAGGAGCTGGAGCTACAGGCGCGCGCTACCACGCCCGGCTAATTTTTTGATTTATTGTAGAGATGAGCTCTTGCCAAGTTGTCCAGGCAGGAGTCATCACTCTTAAATAGTGTCATTTTTGACATATGTGGTAGTATGGGTTCGTATAAAGTTTCTATCATCTAGTCTCCAGTTTGGCCATTCATATTGCATGTAAGCTTATTTTTAGTGTATTAAATAATGTTTGGTAAAATTAGGAGGCTGTTTCTCTTTGGAATATTATCCTTGAAGATGTTTTTGCAAAAAAGTCATTTGCTAGGGTTTGATTTATAGTGTGAATACTTGTTGCATTTTGCTAATGAAGCTGACTCTCCCTTGGTTGTTCAAATAGTGCAGTTTTCTCTGACTCCTCCTGTTTGAATAGATTGTTCAAAATTATTTGAATTGGCAAACAGGTGCATTAACAATACTACTGAGGAGAGTATTGTTCTAGCCTTATTCAGGCATTACTGAAAATAATTTTAAACTAAAAAACGAACCAAACCCCATATATATTCTTTTAAAAAAATTGTATTGCTTAGAAATTTCTGGTTCTAGATGCTAAGAACATTGAGCATGGATGAACCTTAGTGAATTGTTTTTATTAAGATGGCTGTCCCCCTGAGTGTCTTCCTCATTCAAACCCACCTCCCCCCCTTTTTTTTTAAATGTGCAGCTTACTAAAGAGAGCTGGAGCAATTTTTGGCAGCCAGGTTTTCTCGTAGGGCAAAATAAAATGGAAATGTAACTATGTTTATGTGAATATGATACACAAGCCAATAATTAATGCCAAAAACTTACTTTAAGTTGAATTATAGTTGGGTTATATACAAGAAGTAACAGGATAATTGCGAAATCACTAATCCATTGTATATTTTTATTCTGTATCTTCAAGTAGTTAGACATCCACTAAAAAGACTTAATAGCTAAATTGTTGTCATTGAAATGCATATTGCTGCTTACTCACTTTTCTCACCTTTGAGAATTTTGAGAGTCAGAAATTGAGATCTGGAAGGGTCCTCATTTTGTAAGTGAAGAAAATTAATCGCAGTAATGAGAGACCAGGACTCAGATTTCTCATCAGTTAAAGCCCTTTCACTGTTAGGGCTGGTGAATTTCTGTGAACCAGAACTGAGCAGCAAGGTTATTTATTTATTTTCATTAGACTAAAATGGTCCACAAAGCTAGTAAGAAGTTGTGTCTGTGAGCGATTTGAGAAAGCTTAATAGCATTAAATGCAAAGGAAACTAAAACGTGCCATTTCTTTACTTTTGGCTGGAATATTTCAACTCAGAGGAATAACATTGGTCAGTTTATGCCAGGCAGGCCCTCTGATTGACTACTGATGGCTTTACAGAAGATTCTGGGAGTGAGTATGGACTAGACACTGTGACAGACTGCTGTACCAGGCAGTTACATCTTCTAAATGAACATATCCAAGGGTTCACACGTGATATGAGTATGAAGTAACAAATAGTCATTGAAAAATGACTTGATAAATAGTGCTTGAGCAGCTAATGCTTATTCTCCTTGATTATCTTTGCACTGTCACAATACTAACGACAGTGATGACAAATTTTGGATAATTCTAAAGGTTGAAACTAGAGTTGCAGTAATATGGACCAAACAAATCAGATGTTACTTAAGAAAGGCAACTTGTTTGTCCAACTTTTGGAAAACATTGAGACCTTGGAAGAAAAAGTAATAAAAGGGCTCCTTGTTGGTTAGGAGGTTAGGGAGACCCTGACAGACACAAATGACTGACTTAGAAGAGGTTAAGTACATTCATTCACAGATGTGAGTTCCCAGACTTCAGGTCTGAATTCGTAACTAGATTTAAGATGTATATGACTTAAAATGCTGAATGTTTTGGTTAGTTAGTCTATGGGTTTCTTGTCAGATTGTACTGTTCATTATTTTTGTTTTTATTTTAAATTTATTAAATTGAAAAATGTTGAAAGAAGAACCAACTATGAATTTTTTAACTAGAAATAATAAAGAGGTTATTTAAAAGATTAAAATGGTACCTACTAACTTTCCTTATGATTCGTATACCATGTTTTTTATGTTTCACTGGGTATGGCTACCATAATCACACTAAATTGTATCTTACTAAACATTTTTGTATAATAATCACCCCTACCACTTTGCATACTTTTCCGTGGTTATTCCAAGTTTGACACGTGTATAAATAGGACTGAGATTGCAGATGGTGGAAAAAATAAACTTGGGTAAAATTGATCTGGAGGAGAGCATTATGGGGAAATAGTTTTGGGTGAAACAATATGCATTGGGCTTTTGACTCCAACTCTCTCATTTGAATGTTATACTACAACAAAGTGGCCACTTTTATCTCTCTTTGTTGATAGTAATCCTTTTTTTAAAAAAAACAACAACTCTTTTTTAAGTCTTCCAACTATTTACATGATCCTCAAGCTCAGGGAAAGAACCAGATTTATTAAGCATGAACTATAGATTTACAAAGGCTGAGGAATCATTTTCTTGTGCTAGGTGCCATTGTGCCTTAGTGCTGTGTTGTCCAACTGTGGAGCTTAAGAAATAGTGCTTGGCATGTAAGAACTTAGGGAATGTCTCTTGTACACTCTTAAGTCTTAGATTGAGTCCATACCTTAAAGAATAGTGAGGTATAGGATACAGGAAAGATATAAAAGCAAAGTGAAAGGATTTTTAGCTCTTTTGTGGAAACTGGTGTTCCTAAACATGTTTTGAGACACCCAGAACTCACCTCCTCCTTCTAAAGAAAGTTGTAAACATGGTCATACCTGTTGGTATAGGACTAATGACTTTGAAGTGGTACTTTCCCAGTGCCATTACCAAACCCCAGAGACAAGTAAGTAGCATTGAAGCCCTATATCATGCCTTGCTTTCTTGCCTGCAGGTTTCCAGCAGATCTGGTGATAATGTAAAATGCCATACTCTTAGGTAGCTAGGATCATTTACCCTTTGTGCTACCTGGGCTTTGATATGTTATGGTGCAGATACAGAGGAGATGAATTATGTTGCT